CCCCAAAACCCCAAAACCCCAAAACCCCGTGCTTCTAAATAACTTATTGAATTGGAAAATTGTCTGAATAGTAAAATTAGTGACTAAATTTAAAAATTTAAAGATGACAACTACCAAAAAGAAATTGAACCGAGCAGACTATATGTTCCAGAACAAAACTGGCGAGGAGCTCATGAAGAAGCCAGGCGATGTGAATGGATTGGACTTCGCTATCAGAGACCTCAAGGATTGTACCGTCTTCTTGCTCGACCACACAGCTCAGGTATGCTATTTTTCATAGAGTAGTCTTCACTAACATTTCCTTATTTGCCAATTTCATCTATTTATGAAATAACTAATCACTCACTAATTGATAGATCTTCGTTGACGATTGCGAGAACTGCACTATGGTCATAGGACCAGTTAAGGGCTCAATATTCGTGCGAAACTGCACCAACTGCAAGATCTCAGTGCCATGCCAGCAATTCAGGTGCAGAGATCTCAAGGAGTAAGCAATTTATTAATTTGATAGAGTAATCAAAGCTAATAATTTACAATAGTTGCACAATTTTCCTCTATGTAGCTAATGAGCCAGTCATTGAGAGTTCTCAGAATTTAGTTTTCGCTCCATTCAACGCTGCTTATCCATTCCTCGATCAGCAGGTCGCTACTGTCGGCTTCGATGTCAGTAAGTTTATTGCAATTGAAACTAAATTCATTGTCAGATGATAACAAGTGGGAATTAATATTCGATTTCACAAAGGATGAATCAGGATAAAAACTAAACTTTTCCTTGCTGGACCCATCACAATTCTAGATTGTTTCTAAGTCGATCGAAGGTGTTGAGCAAAAGCCAGTGTTGGCATTCCCATATCCCTAGAGATATGGAGGAGTTCTCTCTGATGATGCCAATGCACATCACTAATCTAAGAATGAGGGAGTAACTTTCAATAGTGTAGAATAAATGAAAAAGGATGCTCAGGAATTAGCCTAGTTGAAATAAGAATAGAAACAAGAAGAGCTGTAGCAGCAGTAATAATAGCATTAAGATGATCCAATTATTATGGATCATTTCGGTGGAGATTCCTAAGTCTTCAACTCCTACCAACCTCAACTAGATAGTCATGATGATTTCGACTTATTCGAGGCTGCTGGAACTAGCTAGCCAGTCGTCTCTTAATAAAACACCTTCTAAAACTAATTTCAATCAAACTCAAGTCCTTTATAATAACAACAGCAATAACAATAAGTGTTCCCTGGACAAGGATTCAACTCAGGGTCTTAAATGAGCTGGTAAAACAACGACTTTCAGTCAAATAGTAATGACTTCAGCATTCCGTCATACTCAGCTCCAGGCTAATAATAGACATTCGTCCCACCGATGTACTAGGCTTAGAGCAATGGCTTAATGGGTATGGAATTTGATGGCGAGGACTTAGACGAGGAGGAGAGAGAACGCATACTCCAGTCCGAACTTACCAAGTAAGAATAGCTTCGATCCCTCTACTTTAAGCAAGAGGAAGAGTAAAAGCTGAAGCAACAAAGAAAAACTCGCGGCAGAGAGGAGTTGTTAAAGTGGTCTGATGAAAGGCAACAGCAGCTCAAGTAAAGAGCCCAAAGCAACAAGCAATTAGAGCAAGACTATCATACTGAGCAACAAAGGCTGAAGGAGACAACAAATCAATGGGAGAGAATCATGTCAAATGTAGAGATTAACTCAAGCTAGTATGTTGGCTCATGGGATGTTACCAGAATGAGATAGGCTATGATCGCGAGAAAAAGCGATATTACAAAGGGTAATGCTGCTACTAAAAAAAGTATTTTCTGAATTGTTGTTAATAAATACTCTTCTTCTCCTCATCTTTTTACAAATCGAATTCGAGTTTGCGGGGTTTTGGGGTTTTGGGGG